CGAATAAGGATAAGAACAGAAAATGAGAAACACTTCATAATCAAATAGTTAGAGCCACCTGCTGGATGAAGGAGTTCTCGAAATTGACGGCACATTTTTGAGCTCGCCAGAAAGCCGATCTTCTGTTCGTTCTTGTTCCACTGGCTCAAGTGTGGAGGACGGAGCAGCGGGCTTCACGGGGGTCACATTGACCACTACAGGAGAGTTTGTGACCACTGGAGGAGGGTTCGGACTTAGCGCCTTCACTCGCTGTGATAGACCTTCAGGTTTCACTGGAGGTGGAGGTTTCACGGAGGGTTTCCCGCTTCGAATTCTGAAAAAAGAGCCATCTTCAATCAACTCCAGGCTACTTAGTGAGTGATTTGTATCATAATTTCACAGTTACATGTCAAATGAACAGGTAACTGACCGTGGTTTCGATTCTGCAATGTCGAGCGAGCAGATATTTGGATGAGCCGATTCACTTTTTCGCATTCCTCCTGCTGACCCTAAAAAAAGATATCATCTACCTGAATTTCTCGTGATCCGACCATAAGCATTAGCCTTGTGGTTACTGTGTGAAAGTTACTGATCTGGAAATTCCACAGAGGCAGCAAGCATATATACGAGGGCCATTTAAAGTATTCTCACTATCGGGATGATTTAGCAAAGAGGGAATTTGAATCATTTCAGTAGGTAACGACACTTTCTGAGGGTCTGAATATGAAAGCTCATTTGCTTATCATCAGTGGTATTCTACGTATCCTTGGTGGAAGAATGACTGATGCGACAATGTTGAGAAAATGATTACTGATTAAAAAAAATTGAGAAAAATGAAAAGAAAATTGAGAAAATGAAAAGAAAATTGAGAAAATGATTAGTGATTACTTCTTGTTCCCCAACCTGAAAAAAGATCTTTGGAAAGCGTTCCCCTTACGATGAAGAACTGAAGGTGGCAATTAACGCACAATTGGACGAAGAGGAAAATATTTTTTAGAGAGTATTGAAGAGTTAGTTCCCCGAGCAAACAAGTATATTGAGGCGGACTACCTTGAAAAATAAATTTTATTCAGAATTTCCTGCTTTTTCCTTCATGACCGAGAATGCATTGAACACCCCTCGTACTATTACACAGGTTCATTGGAAAGTCTTAAGACACCTTGAGTGAATTGTGCTCAGGAGAAAGTGAACCATCCTAGGATATTTCAGCCCCTTATTACTGCGAAATGTTCTCAATGATTACAGCAGACTGCCTTGTGAGAAGTTCTTAAATGCTTCCGCGATTGAAAAAAATTGTAATCAGAAATTTCATGAATTTAGGAAGGACTTCTTCTCCAACCTAACAGACATTCGGGGGCGGAAGGACTTCTTCTCCAACCTAACAGACATTAAATATGCACTGATTCAACATTGAGAGCCTCATCGGTGCTACCTTTTTACTACTTGTCCTCAGTCGCTGCATTCCAAAGGTTTTAAGCTTTTGCACTACCAGTTATTGCAGCAGAGAACTGCTCATTGAATAATTTGCTTTGAAGACCCGTTTAGAAAAAATGACAGCAATTTTTAGCTCAGTCCCAGTGCGTGCACAATAAGGTAACTCTTTAGCTTGTTAGAAATACGCGATGGCTTCCCCTGGAAGGACTGATTACCCAATAGCGCTTTCTGGCGGGGTAAATCGAGGCACTTTCTCAATAAGCTAGGCTATGAACTTCTTAATGGTGTAAGATGATCGGTAGGCGATTGTAGAGGTCTGCATAGCTTCAAAAATTTTTTAAAACACACGCAAAGCACAAGTGAACTTCAATTTGCAAGCCAAGTCGGCCCATGCCGGCGCATTACATTGCCCATTCGTATCTGACTAGTGCCGGTTGAGGGCGGGTTATAGGTAAATTGTAGTGGGGTCCCAAAAAAGTAGTTCGTGTGCTGCTTCTAACTCATTTCCTCGTCTTCTCGCCGCTTTGCCGCTTTTAAGTACTATCGCCACCTTCTGCCACATAAAACTGGTTGATCGTATGTACGACTTTTTAGTCTTCGTCATCTCCATATGATCATGATCATGTGCCAGAGGACGGCCAGAATTGAGGGCGGTTATCTTTCATACTTGCTTTTCTCCTTGCACACTTAGGTCACCTAAGCACAATGCACCACTCCTCGTTTTGCAGCTCTGGCTACCTATTGATTGTAGCAACCGTCCCCGGGATAAGGTTCCTTTAATCGATCCCTTTCCCGAGTATGCACATCCTGCTTACTTCAACTCATGCTGCCCGTCTACGCATTTTTAAATTGGTTCCCGCAATCGTGCTTAGTTGACTCTGGTTAATCACACTAGTGGCTTGTTACAGTTAATCGTTTCTCAATTCTGTACCAAGAATGTGGAAGAAAGGTCGCTTGAGGCAGCGCGTGCGGAGCGAACCTTCAGGGCTACGGCGTAGATTAGGGGTCACATTAAACCGAATCACCGGATGCCAGGCCATCTAAGCCTTCTGCCCTCCGGGAACGACGTACAGGTACTAAATCGTCTGGGAGAATAAAAGCACTGACACGTACATTGGGTTGCCACCACAAGTCATTGTCTAATTGTAAGCCATATCGCATTCAATAAGCTTCTGCGATTCTGAATGACACTAAAACGCGTATCGCTTTCCAAAAAGTGACTGACTGACGGCAAAAGCTTGGGAAAAAACTGCCTTGCCCTTGTTTCCCACGATTCCGGTAGGAATACACTGAGGTAGGAGGGGTAAACTTGGCTGACCCGCCCAGGATTTGATCGCCAGGCAGTGCCTATGCTATGCAGTACCAATTACCACTGCCAGCTCCGCATGAGCTTTAGTTCCCGATCAAAAAGGGAGGGGAAAGAAATCCTAGTCATGAGTTTTTTGGAATTGTTTCCAGTTAGGAATTTGCCCCCACCTTCTCGCCTCCAACGCCGACGAACTTAAACCAAGAATCCGTACCAATTCACGATTTTGAAATTCCAACAGCAAAATGACTCTCACTGCCTCTGGCTACTCTATTCCTTCCAGCTCCACCCACGAGGAGAGCCGCTGCGCCTGCATTCCCTCAAGAGCCTTAAAGCACTTCTCGATCGAACAATTACTATAATGTGTAAGTGGTGTACTTGTGACAAAATTAGGAACTGCAGTGACTCAACAACCCCGGAATCGAGGACTCCCATTCTCGTCTAATCCCTACCGCGTTCCGATTTTCACAGAGCAGTCGAATGTTGAAAAACTTGTGAGTCATACGTGCCCTCGATAAAGTGACACCGATAGAGTCTGGGCTACTTCTACACTTTAAAGAAAGGTTCCACAAGTTCCTCTGTTGCACAAAACTAGTGGAGCTTCGTGAGTAACGTGAGTAGTAGTGATGGTGACGATGTTTTTCCCGAGTGCAGAATTAACTGAACTTTGTTCTGGAACAAGTATTTTTGCAGGTGTACTGCAGCTTTACACCACGTTGGAACTTCTAGCAGTTATACGGATGTTAACATCAGAAAATTAGATGCAATTTCAGTTAAAATCAAGGCATAGAGCACGACCCTCTGGTGGTCGGCCGAAAATGGTAATGGGGGTGGTGAAAGTGGAAGAGCGAAGAAATGGGAAATGAAATTGTAAAAAACCAGCTGCTGTGATGGGCTGAGGGCAATGATTCGGTTGACGCAGAGCTTGTTCGGAGGAATTTATGGCTGGCATCATGCCAATACTGCTCTGCTGGATACCGCTGCATCTATTTGTATACAGCCGCGCTGCAAGTGAAGCGATAAGTATTAGTATCGTAACGACTAGGCTGAAATTCATTTTCTGCGAGGCGGATCCTCTCGGTGAGTTAGCTTGGCCATCTAGATAGCAGTCGTTAGACCCTGTCCTCAAGAGCTCCCTTTGCAGTGAAAAAACGAATCCGGCCAGCCCACGTCGCCCGCTGCTCAGGATGATGGCTCCCTTTCTGCTTTAGCCGAGCGACTACAAGCACGCCGTGCCACGATCCTTGTAAATCCATACGCGGAATCTTCTCTCCGCTCGACGACCCGCAAGCAACTCTTCCATGTCCGTTGCCATAGCTTTTACAGTGGTGCGCGCACTAGCTGCTGAGTACCGGCACCTAGAACATTACTCACCGCAACTACATGTACACATACGCACCGCCGCCCGAAAAGGAAGGCGCCTTATGGTGCTACTGCCATTGGTTACAAAGTACAACCTCCTACATGGGAGAGAATACGACGCCTCTTCACGCTGACAGCATTACGACCCCCCTCCTCATCCCGCTGTTATCTGCCGCAAAAAAAACAATGTATCATGCTATTTGATCCATATCACTCAAGGCCAGCACTCAAAAGGCAATTTCTAAAAGTCACCACAGGGCAATTCGGAATATCCTTGACAATAAGAACAGTTATAGAGGATTAACTTCTTAAAAAAAATTCATAAATATTGATAATACCCCAATCTCCAAATAAAATGGCAAAAGACCAACGCTGGTTATGAACCCAATGAAATAGCCCTCCCATTCAACTTCAAGATGGTGGAATGCGTACAGGTGAATCCAGTGAAAAGATTTTCTCCCTTATGGAACCTTTTTATGTTTCTTCCCTACCAGCAGAAACTGATAACAAGCAGCCGATTCCTGCGGTGAAAGGATTGACGAACCGAAGCTAATCCACTAGATGAAGCCACGCTATGGCATTTGAAGGCACGGTCTGCGATCAGGTATAGAAGTTGAAAATATGGCGTCAGGAGGTAGTGTGGTCCATGACGAACCTTGTACCGGTTTCGCGGCAAAAAATTGTAAGGGAGGGGCGCTATAGCGCAATATAGGTTCAGTGACGCCTCCTTTTTTCCAGTGACTCCGCCTCCAGACTCCGCCTTCAAGGCCCGCCTTTCAGTGAAAACGAAGCTGCAGGACGAAAAAGCATGAAAATCGTCACTTGTACGATTGTAGAGTTCTTATCGGGGAATCAGCTATGCAGGATGGGGGGAGTACGTAGTACTGGAGATGGAGTTAGTTGGGCACGTACAAACTGGGATCGGAATGGGGTTCTATCTAGGGCAGTTGGCATGTTTTTTTCTGCTTTTTTCTTCACTATCGAGTTACTCAGCACCTTGTCTTCTATATGCGAGCCCTTAATCCCTAATCCCCATGACAGCAAATGATCGCCGGTTTTGCCTTTAATCAACCAAGCACTGTCAACGTAATAATAATGGTATTAAATGAGGGAATTCTGTATTGCTAACAAAAACTACCATCAATGAAAGTTCAAGTCTCAATATTACCTCGTGCAGTTGCAAGTGGCTTCCCATATTATGCCGCATTATTCGTTGATTATTTTTGGGTCGGCTCCTGCCTGGCCAACGAAAGTCCTCCATCCCCGAGTCAGCTATCTGGTACCTAACTTTTCTGTGAGGACACAAACATTTACTCCTAAGTCGGCTATTCTCCCCCGCTTAGCCCAGCAAGTCACTGTATACAGGGGGAAGGGCAAAAAAAGACCCTTCGA